GTTGGTGAGGGCTGAGCTAGTCAGTAACAGCTTAAGGAGAAGGCAAGACTTGACTTGGAACTTCATGGATGGAGTAAATACAAACAATTCTGAAGAATTAATGCATTGATTGATTCATTCGATAACTATTGAGCACATACTATTTACTAGGCTCAGTTCTAGGTACTGGGAATAAAGTTGCAAATAGGACAGAATCTCTGCCCTAAAGGTATCCCTGTGCTGATTGGGGGAAACAAAGTACAAGTAGACAAGATGGTGATAAGTGCTCTAAAAAAAGCTAAGTAGGTAACCCGGGCTGGTGTGGTTCAGTGGATTGAGTGCCAGCCTGTGAACCAGAGGGTCACCTGTTCAATTCCCAGTCAGGGCACGTATCTGGGTTGCAGGCCAGGTCCTCAGTACAGGCCTTAGGAGAGACAACCACACAGTGATGTCTTTCTCCCGCTCTTTCTCCTTCCCTTCTCCTCTCTATAAAAATAAGTAAACCCTTTTTTTTAAAAGGTTGAACACAGGGTGGAAAACTTACACCTCTCTACTGAGCATTTGATCATGGGCCAGAATGGAGAGAAAGAACAAGAAATGAAAGAACAAAACGCAGAGGTATAGCATTCCAGGAGTTCATGGGAGGGGATAATGGGAAGTTAGTGTTTCATGGGTGCAGAGCTTGAGTTGAGGGTGATTCTAGGGTTGGTGGTTGGTGGTGACTGAAAAACAGTGATCGTACTTAATGCCATAGAACTACACATTTTAAATGGCTAATTTTATGTTATGAATATTTTACCACAATTTTTTGAAAAGTTTGATATCAATATCAGAAAGAGTAGAAAACCAACTCTATGTAATCTAGTTTTAATTGAATATCTGTTTATATTTGTGGAGAAAAGGTGAGTTCTGCAGAACTGGTTATTCACAGATAGCATCTGTGTCAGGAAACAGTAAGTTTTACTTGGATGCAAATTCCGATGCTACATTGGTCCAGAACAAATGCAGTCTTGAAATGATACTAGAATCACTATCACTGAGCCAAAGTCTGTACCGTGACTGTTCAAGATTATGAATTCACCCTGAAAAGACGAGCAGAAAAACAGGAGGCCTATTGCTTATCACCATGGCTATGAAATCCTTTGGGCCTAGGGTAGGATTTGGATTCTTCAGAATTGGTCCAGTGGGATGGCTTTGTCTTCAAGTCTAGCAAATCAAAAGGGGAAAGGAAGTCCTAATATGAATATACAGTGAGCTAGTTGAGATCTCTGGCGCTAAGAGAATGGAGCCTGGCACATCATAAGTCATTGACACTAATTTAAAAATGAAAATAAGAAATAATGCCTGTACCTGAATGTAGATTGACTGAAGAGGGAAGTAAAGCGTGCTGGATTTGGATTCCATGCATACAGGGGTGGGCAAAAATAAACTTATAGTTGTGAGTAAGCAAAAGAGCTTATTCTTGTATTAGTATTTATTTATCAAACATTATGTTATTTATTTGTATGATTATTACTATTATTATTTTGTATCCTTACTTATGATTTACCTTTTAGGTAATGAAGGCTGGTAATTTCATCTAATTTGCCCACCCCTGTCCATACACACACACACACACACAGACACACAGTGTCCTGTTTCATAACCTGATTACTTTTTGATGTCTGTAATATGAATTTACCATAAAGACCGGGACAGTGAACATGGAATATTGTTAACCCGAATCTCCTGCCAAGCCCACCATTCATTTTGGGCTTAATTTACCAATTTCTGAAGAAATGATGATAATGGTTGCCCCATTGACAATGTTTAAGGTCGTGGATTTGTGGTAGTAACACTAGACTCCTTAAAAACATATCAAGTATATTTTTAAATGAACAAAAATAGCTATAATTTATTGAGCTTATATGTCACTAATACTGTTGTGTATTTTATGTCATCTCATTTGGTTCCATGAGCATTGTTTATGCTCCCACCATCATTGTACAGATGAAAACACTGAGGCCCAGACAGGCTAAGTAGCTTGGCTTGCTCAAGGTCACCCAGCCTGCACTCAGCAGAACTGGGATACAAATACAGATCCATTAGACTCCATACCCAGGTTTGTTACAGATTTGTATCAGTGACGAGAAATTGTCCAGTGACTTTTGCATTTATTAATTCCATTTTAAGAAGCTGCATTTCATTTCTGAAAATGTTATTCCTGACACATGTTGCTTAGCATTAGTAACACCTCATGTTTGACAAGCAATTTTTTAAAACACTTTTCGTTTCTTTGTTTAATTATCACAATGTTGGAAAGGAAGTATTTTAATTCCCATTTTACAATAATTAAAACTGAAGTGCAAAGATTTTAAGTGCTTTGCATAAAGAAACAATTAGTGGCTGATGCAGAATTCAAACCGAAATCATCTTACTCTTCAATACACAGGTGGAATCTAGTTTGGGACAGAGAAAAAGTTGAAAAAAAGTAAAATTCCCAAAAACACTTTAAAATAATTTCAAAAGAATATCACCCTCTTTCCAGTCCCCATCCACCAGAATAACCATTGTCTACTGTGTACCTCTGATGCTTTTCAAAATCATTAATAAAATACATACAAATTTATATGGTTTTAAATTTGTGTTTTTAAATATTATCATGCTATAAATATTACTTGTGATTAGATTATTTACTCTTTGCATTATTCCAGATAGATCTAATTACTTTTCAAGATATGGAAGATTTTCCATATTAACATATTTAAAACAAGGACAGGAATTCAATTTAACAAATATTTATGGAGCACTACTATATACCAGCCTAAGGATATGGCAGTGAACAAAAACCAGACAAAAATGCCTTGCCCTTGGACTTCCACAGTTTACCACCCCAATCTTATCATTAACAGTTTTAGCTATGTGTTTGCCAATACAACATATAACTTATTATTTTAACAAATGCATACATTTTCCAGTATGGGCACATACAAATTTATTTAGCCATTTATTTATTTTTGATATTCAGTTTATGCTTTGTCTTGATTTTTAAAATTCATATTGCAATAAACACCCATATTACACATATCCAATGTAAGAATGTCTTTATTTCCTCTGAAGGATAGGTCTTTTAAAAGTGGGATCATTTACAAAGGGGCTAGGTATGTATATTTTTGAACTTTTAATAAATTCCTCAGATTACTTCTAATAAACAGTTGTAGCAGTTATATTTTTCTACCAGCTTATAATAGTACTGAATTCCCTACATCTTAATTTTAAGTCTTTAAAAGTCTGCCAACTCTGTGTCTCCTCCAAGACCTCACCATGTGTGTCTTCATTTGCTAGTCTTCCTAACTTAAATCCTTTATAATGAAACTAATTATAAATACAGTAAAAAAAACTTTGCCAAGCTGATAGGGCAAAATAGTTTTGATATTACTGATTTAGTTTGCATCCCTCTAGCTCTTATACTAGAGACAGTTGAGCATTTTTACACATGTCTACTGGCATGTGCATTTCAAATTAATAATAACTGCTAATATTAGAGCCAGGCATTGAAATGTGCAACTCTCCTTTATGCTTTACCACAACTCTGTCAGAGAGATAGCATTTGCTTCCGCCACCCATTTTACAGATGAGAAAACTGTATCTAAGAAGTCATGAATCCCAAGGTCACAAAACAGGTGAAGTGGTAGAGTGTGGACTTTGAACAAGTGCGATTGTAGAGCTTCCAGGCTGAACAACTACGCAAACTGCCTCTGCTGCCAGGACCACTTTCAAGCCATTCCCTCCCATCTGACTCCCTCCCTTGGAGTGGGACCAACTTGGTTAAATTAGCAAACACTTGAAGGGCCCCTTTGCAGAAGACGCTATGATAGATGTTATTCAGTGATCTGAAAAAGCAAAGCTTCTGCCCCAAAGTCTTACTGAGGAACCAAAATACATTATATGTAAGGGATATATATGTGTACACATGTATCACTTTTTAAAAAAATATTTTATTTATTTATCTTTAGAGGGGAAGGGAAGGAAAGAGGGAGAGAAACATCAATGTATGGTTGCCCTTCGTGGGTCCCCTGCTGGGAACTGGCCTTCAGGGAACTGGTCTGCAACCCAGGCATGTGCCCTGACTGGGAATTGAACCGCGATTGTTTGGTTCGCAGGCCTGCGCTCAATCCACTGAGCTACACCAGCCAGGGCTGTATCACTTTTTAAAGATAAATACCTTTCACTGTCAGCAACTTGGGTGTGATCAACTAATCCAACCAATCACATAAAATTCTGCTGCTCCACGGAATTTAAAATACTATGCAGAATAGTGTAGGGAATAATGTCAACAGCTCTGGAATGAGAGTTAAAGCTGATTTATTTTTGTACAGTAATGTAGGAAATAAATTACTGTCAATGTCCTCACTAACCCTCTTCTTTATCCTCCAGGTGTGCTCACCCTCCCTGGTACTATCCACCGAGGTAGTGCTGAAGCAGAAGCTCGCTCACTCTCAGCTACCTACAGCCATCCGCAACAGAGCCCTCATACCGCTGGTCTTTCCTTGCTTCTGTCCATTGACTTCTTCCTCGAAGGCTCTCTAATCACACTTAATACGCCAATCTAAACTCTGCGGTGTCCGACCAAGTGCTCTGCCAGTAGTCTTTTACTGAGGATGCCACCTGGCCATTGTCCATCAGCTATGCCTTAAGAGAAGTGCCAGTTGCCTTTTACAGGGTTAATAGTTAATCCATCAAGATCTGTTAAAATGTGTGTCATTCATCACATTGAGACAGGGATATGCATAATGAAAAGACACTCACAAAAAGGTGTAGGTCCTTGAATATTTCTTGTTTTCTTTTTCTTTCCCTTTTTCTTGCTTACATCCCTAATCCAGTGTAGTTTACAGTCCACATTAGAGGGAACTGCGCCTTCACTCAGCCATTTCCCCTATGCGTTGGAAAGACTCCTATTTCCTGAAATTTAAATCACTGGCTAGCGGTTTCCTGCCCCGTGTCTTCCCGTCTCCCCCTCGCCTCTCAGCCTCCTCCTTCCTGCCAGTAGCCCAAGCCACGAACGATGTTGTCCACATCTCTCTGCCGACCGAGATGGCATCCAGATTCCGAGGTCTCGCTTCTTGGTGTAGTGCCGCTGAACCCCAGCACTTACACCCTTCCTCCCAATCCTCCCCGTGGACCGAATCGCGCCGCTCTAGGAGGAGCCTAAATATTCTCTTCTCCTCTGGTTGCAGGGGATTGTGGTGCGTAAACAGGATTAACTCTCTCGCCCCCAGCAGCACCGATCTACGCGCGGCCTGCGGCCGGAGGGAGCCCACTGGTGCTCGGAGGACGCAGCGTTGGGAGCGGGGGATGGGGAGGCTCGGGGCCTCGCAGCCGTCCCTGCTGTGCGCCTCCTCGCCGAGTGGGGCGGGAGGTCACAGCCTCGGGAGCTGCTCCTCAAAAGCCCGTGAGGACTGCCGCGACGGTGCGGGCTACTAACGGCAGCCTCCGCCCGCCTCCTCCTCTCTCTCCCGCGCTCCCCCTCCGCCCATCCTGCTCCAGCCACTGGGTCGCGGCCCGCGCTCTCCTCCGCCCCCCGGAGTCACCGCGCCCGCCCTGAGCCCAGCCATGGGGGACCTGCCCGGCCTGGTGCGCCTCTCCATCGCTTTGCGCATCCAGCCCAACGATGGCCCGGTCTTCTTCAAGGTGGACGGGCAGCGCTTCGGCCAGAACCGCACCATCAAGCTGCTCACCGGCTCCTCCTACAAGGTGGAGGTCAAGATTAAGCCCAGCACGCTGCAGGTCGAGTGAGTGCGGGAGCGCGCTGCGGATGCGTGGTCCCCCTTGGGGTCAGCGCAGAGGATCGAGGCCCCCGGGACGCCCGAGCCTCCCGGCACCCTCTCGGCTCGCGCCGCACCCAGCGGGACCCAGACGTGGGGGGCAAAAGTCAGCTCCTTTTCCCCGGGGTCTCCTCCTCTGTCTTACATTTGTCTTTCCTTTATTCTGGCTTCCTTCCACCCATCGCGGGATGAAATGTTTGAAACAGCCACAGGAAGCCAGGGGTTCAACGTCGTTTTTGTTTGTTTGTTTGTAACTAGTAAATTTTTTCATCCCTTCTGTCCAGCCGTCATTGCGGATGCCCCAGGCGCCCGGGGTGGTGCAGTTTCGGGCAGCTCGCCGGGGTTCGCCCTCCGCAATCCCGGACCTCGGCTCTCTCTCAGGTCCTTGTTTCCCGCCCCGATCTGCCCACGAGGCTGAAGAAGGGAGAAAAGCTGAGGAATGAAGTGTAAAGGCGGGGGCGGGGCGATTACTGGGGCTCCCTGAGGGTGCTTCCCACTCCTCCATTTGCCCTTTCGTGGCTGCGGACCACGGGGGCTGGGAGCGCAGCCACAAGTTAGAGCTCAGCCTTCTCTGCTTAGCCTCGTTTGATGATGGTTTTCCGTGTCTGGTGTTTTTCTCTTTCTCCTGAGTTATCTGTTCAGCCTGGTGATGGTGCCTGGAATTAGCAACATACTTACAACAAAAAGATGCTGGTTTTTTTTTTTTTTAGTTCATTCGTGTCAGGGATTATTCCTCCCCTACCCCACAGTTGATGCACCTAGCAGTGGGGTGGGAGGGTGCAGTAGCTTATGAGGAAGTACCAGGAGGGAAGTGCTTTACCTCTCAGCCTCCACCTAAGCACGATGTGAAGTCCGGCCTGGAAGGAGGAAATAATCAGCATTTATATCATCCACCATACACTGAGCTGGGAGGTGGGCAGGGTGTGCTTTGAATCCACCAGGCACCTTTTACAGCTTAACTGTCCATCTGTCATTGTAAGGCAGTAAACTTGACCTGGCCTCCTAGGCGGCAGGCCATCATGCAAGGACATAGGACCAAACCTGGGATGTGTGGTGCTCCTGGTCCATTCATTTGTCAGGATCCCATACAGCTTTATGAACCCCTTTACCTTCACATTTCCCAGTGTTCTGTGTGTCTCCATGTGATCCAGACGTTTTCTTTCCTTTCTTTCCACGTAACCTCTTCTCTCAAATTACCTATACTTTATGCCATTTTTCTTCAGGGTAGTTCTCTATTTTTCAAGCTAATCTAAGAATAAATTTGTATTAATGACAAAACAATTTTTTTCTAGTTACACTTTCATTTAACCAGTCACATGACTGGTTCCTAAATGTTCAGAACCTTCTATCATGCATAGTGTCTCCTTTAGTCATACCCTGTAGGGTTCTTGCCTAGGGTTGTGGTCAAGACCAGGACCACAAGCTAATTCCTACCAAATGTGCTCAACTCACATCCATTGCAGGAATATTTCCATTGGTGGCGTGGTTGTCCCACTGGAACTGAAGTCAAAAGAGCCTGATGGGGACAGAGTTGTTTATATGGGCACATATGATACAGAAGGTGTGGCCCCAACCAAGAGTGGAGAACGACAGCCCATCCAGATCACCATGCCGGTAAGGCCTGCTCAGGGGCCCAGGGTGTGGTACACGGGCAAATGGGAACCGCAGGAAAGAATCACTCCTTCCCCTTAAGAAAAGTCTAAAATGAAATATTAGGAAGCTATGAAATATTATTTAAATTCATGGTTTCATTCTATTTGTTTATAATATCCCAATGTAACTAAATAATCCATACTTCTCCAAAGGTCAGTTTCATACTAATTTTTATATAAGAACAATTTTAAGGCTCTTTTTACACTTTCTGATGTATTCCATTGATCTGTCTATTCTTATGCCAGTATTGCATTATTTTAAATACATTACTTTTTAATATGTGTTCATATATTTTGGAACTGGCCACCTTACTCAACGTGCTTACTAAAATTTTTCAGTTAGTAATCTTGTGTTTTTCAGACAGAAAGTCATAATCTATATATAACTGTCATTTTCTGATTTTTTTTCCTGGCCTAATTGCACTGGCTAATGTTTCTAGAATACTTTTGAATGCCAGAGGTGATAAAGGATATCCTTGTCTCCACAGTTACACTGTTAGGTACAATGTTAGTTTGAAATATTTATTATGGTAAAACATCTGTTTTTCTAGTTCACTAGAAGATATTTTTTGTAGACTTTTTTTTTAGATTTTTATTTATTTATTTTTAGACAGAAAGGAAGAGAGGGAAAGAAACATCAGTGTGTGTGGTTGCCTCTCACGTAGCCCCCACTGGGGACCTGGCCTACAGCCCAAGCCATGTGCCCTGACTGGGAATCAAACTGACGACCCTTAAGTTTGCAGCCCGTACTCAATCCACTGAGCTACACCAGCTAGGGCAAAGGATATTTTTATAAATTGGATGTATAAAATTTCTTCTAATTCTTTTTCCCTTCTATGGACAATTTATATCCTTTGATATATTAATATAACAATTATATAATACACTTTCAAATGCTAAAATATCTTTATTTTCTAAAATAAGCCCTCCTTAAACATCATGTATTATTTATAATATATTCCTAAATTTAATATGCTCATATTTTATTTAATTTTTTTTAATTTTTATTTTATAAGATTTTAATTTTCTTGGCTTATCAGCAAATATATGATGATTTCCTATATATTAGTTACTGGGGGGAAAAGTGGTAAACAAGGTAGATATCCCTAGCTTTATGGAGTTGATAATCTAGAGGAGCAAAACATAATTTGTACATGGTTATCAATAATGAAGCAAATTATTATTATGTAAAGTGTAGTGGAAAATAATGGTGTTTGTGAAGCACATACGAGGGATCTTATCCTAGTTTAGGATCGTCCTAGTTTGAGGATGGCTTTCTCAAGGAAGAACTAAAGGATGAATAAGGGTTTGGGGAAGAAGGAGCATGTGAGGAAAGAAATGCTACTAAGGTCAAGAGGGTAATGTGTTCTAATGAGTGACAGAAGCCCAACATGGCTGCAGTAGAGAATGAGGCAGAGACTGGCCTATGATAAAACTGGAGAGGTAAGTAGGGGACATGTTACAGGACCTTTGCTTTTAGATTTATCCTAATGCCTATGGGAATTCATTGAAGGTTTTAAAATGGACTTTGATGTAGATTTACACGTAATAAAATGCATCCATTTTAAGTGTATACTTTCACAGGTTTTGAGAAATGGATACTACTGTACAGTCACTGCCCCGGTAAAAATATAGAACATTTCTGTCACCTGAAAAAGCCCTTCATGCTCATTTGTAATCAGTCTCCCAATTCTAGCCCACCCTTAGCTCTTTGTCTTAATAACTTCATCTTAACTTTTTTAGAATTTCATTTAAATAGAATCATATTGTTGTGTCTGACTTCTTTCACTTAGCAATCATTTAAATGGACATCCAGGTTATTTTCACCATTTGGCATTATGAATAAAACTTCTATGAACACTTGAGTGTAAATCATAGTGTGAACACCTTTTCATTTCTTTTGAGTAAATACCTAAGAGGAGAGTTCATGAGTCACATGGTAAGGATACGATTAACTTTATGAGAAATATCCAAACCGTTACCATTTCATAGTTCTACCAGCAATGTATGAGAATTTTCATTGCTTTATATATTTATTATGTATCAGTCTTTTAAATTTTGACATGCAAAAGACCTAGAAGAGCCAAAGAATTTTCTTTCATGATCTATACTGTAGTCTTTAAATCGGGTTGCATACATCTTCCGGCTTTGTTTATTCCAAGTTTTTCTGGCTACTGTAGGCCCTTTGCATTTTTATATAGATTTTAGAATTGTCAGTTTCTCCAAAAATTGGGATATTCATTGGTTTTGCATTATATATGTAGGTTAATTTGAAGACATTTGACACTTTAATATTGAGCTTTCCAACACATAAATATGAAATCTCTATTTACATCTTTTAAATTTATCTATAATATAGTACAGTGTTCCTGTACATATTTTCATATTTTGTTAAATTTATTAGCATTCAGTTTTTTAATACTAAGAATGAATTTAGATGTAGGGTTGTTTTTGTTTGTTTTTTTGTTGTAAACTCCTTTTATCGGGTTAAGGGATTTCCCTTCTATTCTTAGTTTACTAGGAGTTTTTATAGTGAATTTTTTTGTCAAATGTTTTCACGTATGTTTTTATTTGTATTTTGAGGTGATCATATGTTTTTTTCTTTTTTATTCTGTTCTATGGCAAAGTATAGTGTTTTTTTCAGTGTTAAAACAACACTGATGCCAAAATTTAATATCATTAAGTCATGGTGTATTCTCTCTCTATATGACTGGATTTGATTCATAAATATTTTGTTGAAATTTTTTACATCTATGTTTCTTAAGGATATTGATTTGTAGTGTTATTTTCTTGTAATGTCTTTATCTAGTATTGATATCAGGTAATACTGGCTGTATAAAATTGTGTAGAATTGATACTATTCTCCAATATTGGGTAGAATTCACCAATAAAGGGAGGTTTTACTTTGTTTGAAGGTTTTTAGTTATAAATTCAATTTCCTTTGTTGATATTGGGCTACTCAGATTTTATTTCTTGAGTTAATATTTGTAATTTATACTAGATGCCATTCATTTATATCAATTCTGTTGTCAAATTTATTGGCTACAGTTGTTGATAGTAATTCCCCACTGTGCTTTAATGTCTTAGGATCTCCAATGATGTCCACTATTTCATTCTCAATTTTCGTAATTTGCCTTTTAAAATCTGATTAACCTAACTAGATGCTAATTAAATAAGTCCATCTAATCAATAAAATTAGCCATCAATTTTGTTGGACTTATAAAAACCCATCTTTGATTTTGTACATTTCACTACTTCATTGATTTCTGGCGTTATCTTTCTTTCTTTCTTTTTTTACATTGAGAACTTTGAATTATAAGACATATATATGTATAATGTTTATGTATATTTTATGTATATATAAAAATGATCCCTTTGCATATTGTACCATTTTGGTTTTCAGGAGTTTGACTATGAGGCACCTACCTGTGGTTTCTTTGTACCTCTTTTGCTTGGGCTACATTGAGTTCTTTGAATCTGTAAGGTATAGGTTTTTATTTTTTATGAAATTTGGATTAGTTTTAACCATTATTTTGTTTAAAAATTATTCAACTTTATTCTCTTTTCTTCTTGGCATGTAGCACTCCAACCGTACATATGTTTGACAGCTTGGTGTTGCCCCACGAGTTTTGTAGGTCCTGTTTAATTCTCTTCAACTTTCCTTCCTGGTTCTTCAAATTAGGTCATTTCTAGTGGTGTGTCCTCAAGTATGCTAATTATTTTCTTTTGTTATTTCAAGTCTGCTGTTGTGCTTATCTCCTTATTTTTTTCTATCACTTTTTTCAGGTCTAGAATTTTTATTTGTAACTTTTATAGTTTCCATGTCTTGAGATTTACTGAAACCATGTTCCCCTTTACTTCCTTGAGCATATTTATAATTTCTGGTTGTAGTATTGGTCTGGTAAACCCAACACTTGGCTCCATTTAGAGTAACTTACTATGTAATACTTTATTTTTCTTGAATATGGGTCATACTTTCCTGTTTTCTTACAAGCTTGTTAATATTTGATTAGAAACCAAACATTGTAGGTAATATATTACAGACTGTCATTTCTGCTTTATTCATCTGAGGATCATTATCTTTACATATTCGAGCATGCAAAAAACATTCCGGGACTCAAACAACATCTGTCTTGCCAACAGCGTGTAGCAGCTGATGTGTCTATTTAGTTTTTTCAACTTCTAGTTACTAATTTTCTAGCCTAATCCCTTGTGCTGGTGGAGTTTAGCAAGCAGCCAAAGAATTACCATATTTTGCCATGTATTATGCACACCCACATTTTTGGCCCAAACTTCTAGGAAAACAATTTTTTTATTTTAATTTTTTAATTCAATTTTTTATTTATTTATATTTAGAAGTGAAACCCATTATCTTATCCCAGGGTATTACTTTGCATACAGATTTCACTAGTGCTTTCTAAAGTTACACTTTTAACACATAAGCATAAATAAAATATTTAAAAGGGGTTATGTAGATACAGAACTAACACTACCCTTGTATAATGTGCATCCTTATTTTTCCCTCAAAAAGCTGGGCAAAATATTGTGCATTATACACAGCAAAATACAGTAGATGATTTATGCTAAGATTTTTGGATTCATCCACCCTGAAATCCCCCTAAATTTTCATCTTCTCTGCCAGTCCTGAGACCTTTGCCTAGACATTTAAACAAGGAAGGCTCTCACTTAAGTTTGGGGATGCAATCAAAAAAGAGAAAAAAAAGACATTGAATTTACAACACTTATTCAGCATAATGTTCTCTTTCAAGGGTTGACTCTTTACTGGTCTGTCTGCTTCTTCAGTAGGTCCCTCGGCTGCCCCCTTCCCACCAGCCCACACATGAAGTTAGCCAGCAGCTGTGCCAGGGTTGTAGTCAGATTTTGGGTCTCACCACTTCTGCAGCCCTCCTGCTTCCAAGGGTTTTCCTGGAATATTTCCACTGCCCCGCCATTCCCGAACTC